TCTGAGGAAATAAGCATTTGAACCAGAAAAGAAAGGTCTATCCCAGTCTTCAAATAAATAAATCTGAAGTGCTACAGAGCAAACAGACTGTGGGGCAGGAAGGTTGTGTGTGCTGGAGCTCAGTGACACCCTGGGATTGATGGACAGAAAGGGGACCTGTGTGCTCAGATGGAGACAGATCCAGCTGGAAATGGGGTTTTTTTACATAATGAGGAGATTTATAAATCTTTATTACAAAATTTCAGCATGTAAGTTTTGTGAATTGCTGGTGTCACAAATACTGCCAACAGCAGAACCTCTCCTGTGCTGGAGGTGCCCCTGAGTGTTGTTCAGTGCACAGCAGGAAGAGTTGCCTCTGCCAGGTGCCAAGTGGAAACAGTTAAATGCACATAAAAATATTCCTGTGTGGAACTGGCCCTGACTTATGGGAGCCCCACTTAATAGTATGATTTTTGTACTGATAATTGAGGTGTTTAAGAGGGGAGGGAGCAACGGTGGGGCTTTAACTCTGGGAATTAAAATGCAAGGGATGTTTTAAACACCTTCCTCTTTAATTTGCAGTAAGTAATGTCTGTCTGTTAGTAATTAAATTCTCCCGGAGCTGCGGGAGTTGTGCTGTGTTGGGCTTGGGAAGAACAGGAACGGGGAGCGACAGGGAAGGACAGGAACAGGGAGCGACAGTGCTGCCCTTCCCGAGTCTCCAGGGCTGAGAGGAGCTGAAGGGAATGTGTGAACTGCTCCTGGCTGGGGCTGCTCATCGTCCTCCCGAGGCCATTTGATCAGCAGAGCTAAAAATACTGCTCCAGGAGCTGGAGCTGTGCATCCCTGTCCCTCCCAATCTCCTCTCACTCCACATGAAGCCCGGGGAGCTCGGCAGTCTCGGGGTGATGGTTTTGCTGATGGAGGGTTCAGATCTCCAGCTCACTGCAAATTCAATCATCAGCTCAGGAATCTCTGGATGTTTTTTTGAGCGTGACATTTCTTCTTGCTTTGATAATCGGAAAAACACCGGGAGCTCTGTGCAGTGGGCTGAGATCTCGCCAGGCTTTCCTCACACATTCAGTCCTGCCCAGCAGAGTAAGGGAGAGCAGAGCAGCTGGAACAAGAGCAGCAGTGAACCCAGATTTTCCATTTTGTGAGAAATTCCTTATTTGACATGATGCTTTTCACTGTGAACATGTCTGTGAATTGAAATTCAAAAATACCTTGATTTTGTTCAAAAGAGACTTGTTTTTTTTGTCAGTGGTCAATTTTTCCTTATAAAGATCACGAAACTATTTTATGATAATATTAAAATCTTCATTTGGTATTTGATTTTTGTATTTTAATGAAATTTGTCACACCCAAGTTTGTAATTGAAGGTCTGAATTTGGGAAATCACTTCACCTTGTGCTTACCTTCCCCTCTTTCTGATGTCCCACTGGAATGAGGGGTTTAAGCTTCTGTAAATCAGGACCATTAATAGTTAAAGAAATGAACAGTAATTATTGAATTGGAAAATTAGAGGCTGATCAAAAATTTATTTGAGCAACAGTTTATGGAAATCATGCAAAATGTGCAGAAGGCATTTTTGCCATATGGATGTGAAGTGCCCGGAGCACCAGGAATGTTGAGCTTTGCTATAAACCAGAGTTGGCAACACGAGACCAACTTAACGGGCACTTATTGTGTCTAATATTTTATTAACTCTCTAAATTAAAAAATAATCCTTTTGCCAAACCCTCCTGGCACTTTAGAATTTGCAGGAAATGAGAGCAAGAAATACAATTTTTACACTCGTGTAGGGAAGCCTTTGTAGTGTTCTGGATGTGGAATATGGCTCTTGTTGTTCCTGCTGTTCTGGCTGTGCCTCTCTGCATGTCTGGCTGGGAGAACTTAGGTTTTGCTGCTTGGGATTTGTGCTGGAGGTCTGAGGGGAAGCTCTAAATGTTGTCCAGTTCCCTCCTGGATTGCTGCAGTGATTCCTTCCTGGACAGTTAATTGCACCCCTTGTAAATAATTTCAAAATTTGTAACTCAGGTGCCAAATCTGCAAAAACTTCATTTAATACAACTTAATACAACCTAAAGCATGGGTGCTTTTTGAATTTAGTTATGGCAGGCTTAAAATTATGGGATATTGGAAATATTCACCTTTAGAGTGTGGAGGAGCTTTGTGCTGGGTGGAAGTGTGAAGGTCTGTTCTGTGCATCGTCACTGGGAATGGGAGTGAGGGATGGGCAGCTCTGCTCCAAAAAGTGGAGGGGCAGGTGCTGAGCTCTTCTGAGGGAAGGAAGGGAACAGTAGAGCTGTGTCAGGGGAGGTTTAGGTTGGATCTCAGGGAAAGGTTCTTCCCCCAGAGGCTGGTTGGGCACTGCCCAGGCTCCCCAGGGCAGTGAGCACGGCCCCAAGGCTGCCAGAGCTCCAGGAGGGTTTGGACAATGCTCTCAGGGACAGGGTGTGGTTCTTGGGGTGTCCTGTGCAGGGCCAGGAATTGGACTAATGATCCCTGTGGGTCCTTCCAACTCAGGATATTCTGTGATTCTATGGAGAATCCTGCAATCCTTCAGCACGAGAGCCTGACACCCACGGGCCTTGGGTGACTGACCTGGGAATGGGGACATGGTTTGGCCTCTAGGCATCCACAGCACCCATCTCCTGGAGCCTCACTGCTCCCTCAGGGATAGCTCAGGGATTGCTCAGGGATAGCTCAGGGATAGCTCAGGGATAGCTCAGGGATAGCTGTGCTGTTGCTTAGCAGCTGCCGAGCTGCAGTTTGGAGGTGCCGAGCGGTGGGTCCAGGTTACCTTCCTCCTGTGCCCCTCTCCACGAGCTGTGCAGCACAGGAGGAACATCCCAGGGAGCTGGTGGGGCCAGAGACACCCCTGCTGCTGTGGGGTAAGTTGTCCCTCTCATCCATCACCTTTTCCTCGCTGTTGTTGCCTCGTACCTGGGATGGGGTTCATCCGGAGCCAGGGGAACGCTGTCCGTGCAGGATCCTGTCACACCACTGGCCCCAGCTGTTCCTGTCTTGCACATTTAACTCTTACTGTCTTCATTCATGATGGAGAGACTGCAAATCTACAGGCCAGCATTGAAAATATGGAATTAATGCCAGGTTTGGGCTCATTTCACAGATGGTTTGTTATTTGTGGGGTGTGTACGAGATGGTGCTGGAATGGCCAGTTCAGTGCCAGGAGCAGATCCAGGGTCACAGGGATTTCTCAGGCTGTTGTTCCTTATGTTGGTGACTAAACCTGGCTCAGCTGAAGGTCACACTGGCAGCTCAGTGAGAGAGCAAGAACCTCTTAATTGCAGAAGATGGAGGAATGGGAAAGGCTGACAGCTCTGTGGGAATAATTAGACTTTGCAGTCCTGGTTTTGTTTTTCTCCTTTAGACAAAAGGTGAGATGGCAGAATATGGAAATTCCAAAGCTTTTCTGTCCTGTGTAGGTGCCTCTTTGTAGGACTGTGAAATAGGGGTGATTTCTTGGGAGCTGAGAGCAGAGTTTGTGGGCACAGTGACAGTCTGGAGTTGTCTGCAGTTCCTGGGTGGAACAGAGCTGGGTTGAAGGGTTCACATCTACAGTTGCCTTGCAGGCTTTGGGTGTTAATATTAAAGTGAGGCTTAGAACTTTGCTGATAAAGAAATGAATGTAGCAGAATTCAGACTGGGAATTCCGAGTAGGCCATGCCTTTTGTGTCCCAGGGAAGAGGGCACCTGGCACAGTCTGCCAGCCATGGCTGGGGTCACAACCTACAGCTTGTGTCCCCTCTCACCCCACACATTCCCTGCTTCCTGCTCTGCTTGCCAGGCATCCCTGTGTCCCTTTTAATCCTTGGCCCTGCCCTTGAGTGGCTGTGTAACCTGGAGCAACTTGGTCTAGTGGAAAGTGTCCCTGCCCATGGCAGGGGGTGAAAAGGGATGAGCTTTAAGGTCCCTTCCAACCCAAACCATTCTGGGATTCTGTGATTAATGACTGTTCATAAAGTGCTTTAACCTGTAAACTGCTGCATTATTACAACATTTTTTATTGAACACAACAGGCTGTGAAGCTTTTAAAAGTCATCAGTAGATATTAAAAGCTTCCCAAAGCAGATTATTCCATGCTGCCATGGCCCTTCCCTGTCCCCTGGAGCCGTCTGGATCTTGGCTGTGTTTTAATTGGGGACATGATATGCACTCAGGAGTAAATCTGCAGCTAGTGTTGTTCATCATGGATTGGTTTTTAATTCAGCTGAAGACTTGCCTGGGGCACCTGACAGAAATTTTGCAAGCTCCAATCCTGCCTTCAGATCCCTGGGTTTATATCCTTCTATCTGTGCAGAATCTCATTTCACACTGTTTATCCAAGCCCTTTGTCATTTACATTCCTGCAAAGACACCTTGGGTAGGAAAATGCCACAAAATCCTTGTGGGACAGGTGGACGTTACCTGGATCCATCTCATCATGTCTGTCAGTGTTTAAGAACCATTTGGAGAATGCCCTTGAAAATGTCATTTAACCTTTGATCTGTCCTTCAGTGGTCAGGACTAGATGATCATGAGAGGTCACTTCCATCTGAAATCTCTCCTTCTCCTTCTCCTTCTCCTTCTCCTTCTCCTTCTCCTTCTCC